CAGAACAATATTATCGCCGCTCCAGAGGGGAAGGGCAGAGGCGGCGCCGGTAATGCAGTCGCAGATGATTAGCAAACTTCGCTGCAGTTCTTCGCGACTCAACTTCTTCTCGCCTTTAATCCAATTCAGCAAATCAGACAATTCCGTGGCTAAGAAGCGGTCGAGTAGTCGCTGCGCGAACGCCAGTTCCTGTTCGCTGGCGTCGTGCCAATCGACGTTCAGATGATGGATGTCTACAGTACAGCCCCAGTCCTAACCACAGACACACACAAGACATTATCACTCAATGGATCAATTGATACCACATTTCCCGAACTCACTCTAATGGGCAAATCGGTCTCAAAGTTGGAGTACTTGTCCCACGATTTGGTGACACTGCGGAAGTCGAGCGCACATAACAGGGTCAACGACTTGAGCACATGGCGCAGAATGGCCGACGATAACAGGTAGCCCTTACGGCACTTCAGGTGCAGCGTCCGGTCGATCACCTTCAGCAACAGATCCGAGTACTTCACCAAATGCTTGCCGTCGCAGCGGATCAGCTCCGATACGATCTGCAAACTGAACAGCAGTTCGTGGTCTAAGAACTCCTCGTTGAGGATGTCGTCGCTCTCGGTTAGCGTTAAAACTAATTTGCAAAAGTGTGGCAAAAACTTCTGCAACGATAGCTCGGCGTTGGCCTGAAGTGTGGGATCAGAGGAAAGCGATTAGTGGATCAGTTCGAGTGATGACTACTGACTACACTCAACGGGCCATACCTTAGAGCAGGAACGGACCAAAATGGCCGAGAATTTTCCGGCAACTTTTGTCTCGAATATATGGCTCGAAACAAAACCGTAGAGTTTGTCTAAAGCGGCCTAAGAATGGGACACCAAATAATCAACTATTAGTTCCACTAATTCAAGACACGGTGTCCTCGCCATCAATGGCGCGATACATACGCTGAATATCTGCGGCGACGACTGCAGAAGAATGCTTCCGAAAGTGGACGCCAAACCCACTTCAATGATACCCTCTTCGGTGTTGAGCCGATCGGTCTCCTGATCCAAACG